GTCAGCCTCTCTGCTCCTATGATGCTGCTTGGCCTGCTGTGTTCATCCAGCCCTGCACCTTGTTGTCTCGGATTCTCCAGCATCTGCAGTTCCTACTATCTCTGCCATCCTTACCTGGTCTGGCCTACATGTGATTCCAGACCCAGAGTAATGTGGCTGACTCTTAATTCCTTCAGGTCAAGGGCATTTAAGGTCGGGTAGTTGCCGGACTTATCAGCACCTTCCATAGTCCGTGAGAGAAGATATATTTTAAAAATTGCCCTGGAGAGTTTTCTTTCATAGAAGACATTACATAGGAAAGAAACATACTTGTAGTTGTTATTGCTGACCCCCATAAATATTGACACACTCAAGGACTTCACTGTAAGTTGACTTTCCATGGGTTCCTGGAGAGAGTGTGTGCGTGTGTGATCACATTGAATGAGAGCAGAATCAGACTTCGCTATAATGCCACCACCAATGACTGAATAGCTTGCCATCACTTACCATCAATTCCTCAAAATTATTTACAGTTACTCAGGAAACTGACAGTCATTAAACTAGAGCTCAAAGCAACCAACACCTTCCAGAGAGGAAAGGTAAACAGAAAATGCTGGAAATATTCAACAGGTCTGGGAGCATCTGTGGAGGAGGAGAGAATGAGTCAACATTGCAGGTCAAAGACCTCATATTAGATCTGATGGAGGGTCATTGAAAACAGTGAGTACTGCAAAGGCTACGTACACTGACAGCATTCCAACAATAGTCGTGAACTAGCTACACCATGAGCCAAGCTGTTCCTATCCAGTTGCAACACTGATATCCACCTAGCAATGTGGAAAACTGTCCAGGTATGTCCTTGCTTGGACCGATAAGTTGACAAATAACATTCATGCCATGCAAGTGCTAGGCAATGACCATCAACGAGAGAATCTAACTACTGCCCATTTACATTCAATGGCATTACAATCACCCACTGACCAGAAACTGAACTGGACCACCCATGTAAATACTGTTGATACAAGGGCAGTTCAGAAGTTAAAGGTTCAGCAAGTAATTCACCTTCTGTCCAACATTTCCTCTATTTTTTTTCTCTGCTGCACAGACTATGGAGGCCCATGAATGGCAGCAGCTTCTGGAAGCAAAAGCCATGCGTCAACACGCCAATCATTGTGTAGTGCTTTCCAACAGCTCTGCGGGAACATTGCTCCTGTCACCCCAAAGCCTGGCCACCATCTACAAGGCACACGTCAGGAGTTTGATGGAGTACCCCTCACTTAATGCCTGGACGGGTACAGCTCCAACAAGACTCAAGAAGCTTGATACCACCAGCTTGATTGAGTGCTGAGGGTGTTGGATAGCCAGTCAGTAACAGCAGTGTGTACCAGCTTCAAGATGCACACAGCAAGACTCCTTCAGGAGCACGCAATATTCATTCCCTCCGCCAGCAGCACACAGTGGCCACAATGTGTATCCTTTTTAAAATGCACCGTATGAATTCACCAAGATTCCTTCAACAGCATGTCTCAAGCCAGAAATCTCTACCACCTAAAAGGCTAAGAGCAGCAGATTCATGGGAATGCCACCAAACTGCAAATTTCCCACCAAGCCGCACATCATCCCGATACTGCTTCTTCCTTGTCTCTGGATCAGTATCCTGGAACACTCTCCTCAACAGTATGTGGGAATACCTACACAGGATAGACTGCAGTAAATTCAAAATAGCAGTTCACCACCACCTTCTCCAGGTTAGTTAGAGACGGATGGGCAATAAAGGATGGTCTAGCAAACGACACCCACATCTTGCGAATGAGTTTAAACAAAACCTCACGATCAGTGGTTATAATTTAAACAATGAATTATTTTTCATCCATTCCCATATCATAAGGGGAGATGATGGCTTAGTAGTATTACTGCTGGACTGTTAATCCAGAGACCCAGGTAACATTCTGGGGACCTGGATTCAAATCCTACCATTGCAAATGGTGGAATTTGAAATCAATTAAAATCTGGAATTAAGAGTCTAATGATGACCATGAATCCATTGTCAGAAAAACCCATTTGATCCACTAATATTCTTTAGGGGAAGGAAACTGCTGTCCTTAGCTGGTCTACATGTGACTCCAGACCCATAATGATGTGGCTGACTTTGAACTTCCCTCTGGACAATTAGGAATGGCAATAAATATGGGCCTAGCCAGTGATGCCGTCTTCCCATCAATGAATAAAAAGTGGCTGTTTTGCTAGAATTCCTAAACACAGCATTTTGTGTTTTTAAATTTGTTTGTCATTTAAAACCTTTTAAATTAAATGAATGCATAATAGAAATTGGAGTGGAGTTTCAGGAAAGCATTATTCACAAACAGGACAGATAGAATGTTGAAATCTCAAGGAAGAGAGATGAAAGGTTATGGAAGAGTGAGATTAGAGGTGATGGGTCATAAAAGGTGTGGGGAGTGGGCAGAGAGAGTTTAGACTTTGGTATATTCAAGGATGTGGGGAAGGAAGGAGGGGGCGAGTGGGAGTGGACTGCGATATTAAAGTGTGTGGGGAGTGAAGGACAGAGTGGGATAATAAGGACAGGGGTGAGTGGGATTAGACTGGGTAACGCTGGTCTAGTGGCTCCTGTTTCTGAGAACATTCCATTTGTAAATTTAAACAAAAATTGAATATCTACAATCGCCTTCCACCAGACTGTTACTCGCAAAGACTGAAGTAATGAGTTTTAGCAAAGCTCGGCTTTGTTAGGGTCGGTTCAGCCTGAAGCTAGGCTGGCTGCTCAGACTCACTCCCTGCAGCGTTTCCATCAATGCTGGACTGTTTTGGAAACAGCAGTATTCCTCCCCCCGCCCGCCTAGGCTCTGACCTGCTGGTGCTTCCTCTCCTTCTCGATGCGGTCCATCCTCTCCAGCCTCAGCCGGTCCAACTCCAGGCGCAGTTCGTCAATCTCCGGGTTCATGTGGTTGCGGCTCACCAACACCTCCAGCATCTCCAAAACCCGCACCACTTTCGGCATCAGTTTGGCGATCGCCTCGCAGCCGAATACATCGATGACGCGCTCAAATTCCTGGCCGACCACCGCCGCAATGTCGTAGACATCCATCACCGAGAGCTCGGTGGCCGCTTTGTCGAGCGCTGACACCGCTCCTTCCATGGTCTGCCTTCCCAATCTCCTGTCCCCTTTGTCTGCTCGCTTTTCCTAACCTTCCTGCATTAAAACTTGGCAAAGAACCCTTCCTCCTTTATTCCGTTCTCTCCCTGTTGTTGTTTAGTCCTTCTTCTCCAAACAGTTCTCTCCCTGCGCTAGAACTTCCCTGGGAACATCCTGCCTGAAATTCCGATAAAGTGCAGTAAAAGCTGACATCGCCAGGCCGAAGGAGTACACGCAGGTTCTGCGCATGAGCCTGCCCCCACCCCCGGATACGGGAGGGGCTGCATACTTCTCCTAAGCTTCCAGCCAGCGGAAAGAGGAGCCCAGGAAAACACAGCTCACCACTGGAGAGCAACAGGCTGCCTGCTTGGATTAACTACTCCTTCTCCACCCTGCGGGAATTAAAGATTGAATTCCCGACACACTGCCTCGGGGAGAATATGAAAGCTTTCAAAATGCATTTTCCCTTGTTTGAAATGTAAGGATGGACGGTTAAGGAATGGTTTACAAGAGCTCAGTAAACTGCAAACCAATTCTCTGGTTATTTAAAACGAACAAATGCAGATGCTGGAGTACAGAGCAATCAACAGTTCCAAGGGTCCACCATTCTCCAGAAATAGAAGTGGATCAACAAGTACCACAGCAATAACATTTGCCACGGCAGCAACGCTCACTAGAGCAGGAATATCAACTTATGAACACAGAGAAGCCAGACAAACAGCCAACGACATCACACTGTGTACCATTAGGAGACCTGCAGTATTTAAAGACTTAGTATGCAAAAGTGGAACTCACTAGAGTTAACAAACAATTCTATTCATGAAAGAGAATTTTCATTAGACTAGGGGCAGCACAGTGGTTAGCACTGCTGCCTCACAGCACCAAGGACATCAGTTTGATTCCACCCTCAGGCGACTGTGTGGAGTTTGCACATTCTCCTGGTGTCTGCACGGGTTTCCGCTGGGTGCTCCGGTTTCTTCCCACAGCGCAAAGATGTGCAAGTTAGGTGGACTGGCTACACTAAATTGCCCATAGTGTTCAGGGAGGTGTAGGTTGGGTGCATTAGTCATGGGGAATGTGGGGTTATAGAGGAAGAGTAGGGGGAATGGGTCTGGATGGGATGCTCTTCGGAGGGTTGGCGTTGGGCCGAATGGCTTGTTTTTATACTGTAAGGATTCTATATTGGTAGAAGGTCCCTCAATGGTGATATCAATTGGCATTTGCAAAGGAGTAACCTACTCAATGATGCTCAGTTCAGGTACTGTAATAGCCGTTCAGTTCCTGTCCTCAACATGGACAAAATAGCAGAATGCCCTTATTCAGAAAGGGAAGCAGGATATAGGAAATTACAGAGCAGTTAGCTTAAGATGCATCATTGGGAATTGTTAGGATCGATTATTTAGGAAGTACTAACAGAATATTTTGAAATTCCAAATGGATCCATCAGAGTCAGCATGGTTTTATGAAGGATAAATCATTTTGATAAATTTCCTGGAGTTCTTCAAATATGAGCAAGTAAGGTGGATAATGGGGATCCTGTAGATTTAGTACATTTACATTTCCAGAAGACATTTGATAAGATGCTGCACAAAAGGTTAGTACACAAGGTAAGATCAGATGGGTTTAGGAGAAACTTATTAGCTTGGAGAGAGGATTGGCGAACTAACAGAAAGCAGACAGTGAGGATAAACGGTCTTTTTCTGGTTGGTTAGATGTAACTAGTGGGGTGGTGCAGGGATCGGTCCTTGGGTCCCAATTATTTACAGTCTATATTAATGGCTTAGATGCAAGGATAGAATGTACTGTGGCTAAATCTGCAGATGATACTAAAATATGTGGGAAAGTAAATTGCAATGACGAAATAAGAAATTTACAAATCGATATGGATAAGTGAGCTCAGTGGGCCAAAATTTGGCAGATGAAATTTAATGTTGATAAGTGTGACATTATCCATTTTGGTCAGAGGAATAGAAAGGCAACTTATTATCTAAATGGGGAGAAATTTCAGCGGAACTTGCTGCAAAGGGATCTGGGTGTCCTTGTTCTTGAATCACAGAAAACTGGTATACAGGAACAGGAAGGCATATGGAATTTTAGCATTGATTGCTAAAGAAATTGAGTATAAAAGTAGGGAATTGTTGCTGGAATTACACAAGGCATTATCAAGATTGGACCTAGAATACTGTGCACAATTTTGGGCCCCTTACTTGAAGAGTCGTGTAGTTGTATTCGAGGCAGTTCAGAGGAGATTCACCAGACTGATTCCAGAAATGAGAGATTTGAAATGATAGAGCAAAATTAAAATGTTAAACATTATAGTCCTTCTTACTAAAATGTAGAAAAACAAAGAAACACAGTTAACAGTTCAACATCAGAATACAAAAGCACCTGGCCATTGCTGGGCTTGAACTCCTTACAAGGGGTTGACCTCCCTTGCTTCAGGCTCGACCTTGCCTCTGCTGGCTGCCCCAGGCTGCTTGCTCCCGATCTCACCACTAGCTACCTTGGTTGCTTGCTCTCGTTCTCGCCAGTGGCCATTCAGGGCTGCCTGAACACACTGTCACTGCCTGTGGCCGCTTTCGCTGCCTGCTCTCTTTCTCACCAACAGCCCGCCTGGGCTGCCTGAACATGCTGCCACCGCCTGCTGCCCCAGGCTGTCTGCTCCCGCTGTTTCTGCTGGCCACCCCAGGCTGTCTGCTCCCGCT